CAATGGCTGCCCATATTTTTCACAGAACAGGTATTCTTTAAGCTTTCTGTTTTATCTTTCTATGTTGGAGGACTTGGCAAAGGTAAAAAACTAACACAAAATTAAAGAATAGTTTAGGTTGCAAAAAAGCATCTTTGCAATTTAGGGACAAATTAGAAGCAGCCAAAGCATATCAATGACTCATACTTCAGGCAATCATCTATTAAAGTATGATTCTGTATATTCTAATCAATAAATGGTCATAAAGCAACAACATAAAAAGGCAGTGTGCCCATAACCCCACACTCCTACTGTTCTTGTAATACTTTTTATAGGAACATAAATACTATAGAGCAGCTTAATGTCTTTGATTTACATTTAAATTGCAATCCACTGCTTATCTTGTATAATATTCTCAGCAAACCAATTAAAGGAATAATCAAGATTTAAAAAAACGCTTAGCAATGAATTCTACATATATAAAAAGGGACCCTCCGCCACACATTCACTGGGAACAACAACAGGACCCCCCATCTGGATTTATATTTTAAATTTCACCAAGACATATCAAATCTTGGCAAAGGTTTCACCTTTTCTGTGGAAATTTCCTTTGTCTTCTCCTGAAGTAAAACATCACTCCAGCAACCAGCACAGCAAAAACAGAAACTGCGACTAGTATTCCAACAATGAGAAACCCTCTATTCTGATCTGTAGAATAAAGAGAAGAAAGGGACAATGACATTTGTTTCTTAGAGAATTAGGATAAGCCAGTATCATAGACAAGAGAAAAACATCAGTGTTTTACGGATTGCTACCTGCAGTGTTTTCTGTAAATTTATGGTCACAGTATGGTGGAGCCCAGCCAGGGTCACAGTGACACTCTCGCTTTTGGTTACAGACCTTTAAAAGAAAAAAAAAAAGATTTGAGATTTTCAGACGTATTATTGTGGTGCGTATTTCAGTTTAATGTTGCAACATGGTACTACATAGCCATCTAGCCAAGACTAAAAGCATTATTGTAGGTAGTTCTATCTCCCCACTATAGAAGCATCTGTAAGGTCTGGAGCCTTGAATACTATGAATGAAGCAAGAATTAGCAGGTGAGAGTCCAAAGATCCATACAAGGACTGATCATGCAAAATATATTTAAACGTTTCAGTTCCTGCATGTCCTTTGTGGATCAGGGCATTTATTTTATGATTTAGCATTACTATTAACATTGAAAGTAATTACATTTTGGGACAGTCAAACCTTTCTTTTGGCAATATTGCCAATATTGTGTTATTTTCTATGCAATAGAAAGGCAAAAACGTGCAACTAAATAAGGCGCATCTAGTTTGACCAGTGTTAGGCTTCATTCACACGGGGTGTATCAATGTGCATTCAGTGTGAGCGTTATGTTTACCCACATGGAGGTTGCACTGGTGTTTCATGCATATCTGTGAAGGCATTCCATTGATGTCTATTGGGATGCAGTGGCTGTACACAGCCACTGCCCCATTTCAACATCTGTGTGGGTGCAGGTGAACAGCCCCAAATGCAGACAGTGTGCATTTGGAGCTATGCAGCCGTACCCCCACAGATGTCAAATTGGGATTAGCGGCTGTGTCCATGTAGTCACTGCATCTCCAATAGACATCAATAGGACAGCCTACACAGGGATACATGGAACACCTGTGCATCCCAGTGTGGTAAACGTGGCCCTTGCACTGGGTATGCATTGCTATGCCCATGGTAATGTTATTTAAAAAAAAAGTTTGTGCAATTTTAATTTAATGTGACACGAACAAAACAAAGTTATTAAAATCAAAATTAGCAACAGTAATATTAATAATAATAATATCTTAATAGTGAAGAGGAGGGAGACAAATTAAAACTGATTAGGGTTATCCAAGGTTGTAATGCCTATGAAATATGTGTTGGCCTTGGACCCTTTGTTTCTTGGGTAATTTTTACAATAAATCATTGTTGCCCAAATGCCAGGGGCATGAGAGGTGACTGATGTGTCATTTCTCTAGGCCAGAGTCACAAGATATTCTGCTGAGAGCAAGATAAAAACTTATTTATGGAATGAACTGTGTTTATGACATCTAGTAACCTCATATTAGGAGATAAAAACCTGTTTAAGTTAGAAATCCTTAAGTCTGGGGTAGATGAGAAGTAGTTTTGGGGTAGATAAGAAGCAAAAGTGTGACTTTTCAGATAACGAATATGGTGGTTGAACGTGACTCTGTTATCCTCGCGGAATCCTTCTGCTAGCTCCTCCTATGGTGGGTGAGGTGCCCGCCCACTATTGGACAGCTTCCAGAAAATTGGTTTATAAGGCGGAGGTCTGGGCGAGACCAGTAGAAGCCCCCCTTAATGGCCAGAGGATGCTCTGACGCTGGGATTTTTGCCAAGGCTATATGGGCTCATTGACTGGTCGTGCCTATGGCTTCCCCGTGACACCCTGGGCAGTATGGTACCGATGGAATTTGTTCTTCCCAGCTTCTAACATAGCTTTGGTAATGTATTAATTCTATACAGTGACGCTGTCAGATGATGTGTCTATTTCATGCTGTAATGCTCACATTATTATTGGTGTGTATTATTATGCAGATTGTGATGACTATAAGATATATCCTGTGTGTCGCGTGATAATAAAAGTGGAGGTTTTGACAGTGCAAGAATATTGCAGTTGAATTCTGTTATTTCTTGGAGTGCCAGGTGAATGCTATGATGGGCCAGGGCAGGTGTTCATTTGGTAGATGGTCTTTCACATGCGTAGAATATGTAATGGTTTAAATGCTAATTAAAAGGTACCTGCATAACTACATGTTGATTGTGTGCGTGTATATGACTTGTTTTTAGTTATTGCACCCAGCATTACTATTACAAAGGTTTAACATAGGCGTTGAATAGAAACATGCACAAAAGTTAAATGGAATATATTTACATACCCCTCTATTGCTGCACTTTGCAGAGCAATTCTTGTCTCCATACACGGATAAATCCTGACATTCCCCTTCAAAGCAGACCTACAACAAAAGAATACTAACTGTTGGTGCGTTGTTAACTATACTTGAGAAATATATATGGCACTTTCCTAGATCAATAATATTAATGCTAATAAATTCAAAGTCATACATTGAAAACATAATGATAAATTATTTTATATACAATGCCTTCAAGTAATTAAACCAATCACAAATTCAAATTATTTATTTAAGATTTGAATGTATGACTTTCCTAGATCAGTAAGGGCACTGAATACTAGAAGTGTTAGTCTCGGGTTAAATGTCTCACCATTCCCATGCCACACTTTGTGCCAGTGGGCACCATTCCAGGGTCAGCTGTTACTCCACTTTCCTGATCAGACAGTTCAGCCACTTTGCACTCCTGTCCACCCATTAATTTTATCACATACTTGTTGTTAGTTATAGGGAATTCTGCTCCCCTTACACAGTGTATTCGACCACACTTGACATCCCTGTAGAAATAAAACATTGGGAACGGTATTATTCATTACTCCTACACATCCATCTAAACATACACATCTGCACAATTAGTGCAAATGATTCTAGTCTTAGTTGTACATTAACTCATATTTCACTACTATGCAAACCCAAATATTAAAAAAACCCTCTAAACTATTACATCAATTAGACTTCTCATTTACAACCACTGTCTCAAGATATGTAGTATTTTTATAAAGAAAATAAATTGCATACTTACTTTATTTTACAGCTACTGTATCCTTGCTCAGTTTTTTTGCAATGTAGGTGCTTATTGCCATGAACATTGCTCCTGAAGCAGTCATCGGGTGCAACTTGTGCATCTGGAAGAAAATATTTCCATGTCACCTAAACTTTTTTTTTTTTATATATATATCTTTTTTATTTTTTTCAAAACTTAAAAACAACATACATTCATAGTTATCGAATGAGAAATACAAACCATTCCCCTACATTTAATCACCCTACCCCCCCCCCCCCCCCCTCCCCTCCCCTCCCCCCCCCCCCCCCCCCACTTTTCCCCGGTCCATATGATTCTATCCAACTCTTTCCGTCAATTCCTGTCCATATCTATATATCTCTTTTCTTTACTCCTCTCCTCCTATACATTTCTTAATCACTCAATTCAATTCTCCTACATCGGTTCGTCTGGGGCTCCCACTACTTCCAGGTATTTTTTAGATGTCTTAAATCATACCAGCTACTCCATTCCTTTCTAAACTTTTCCATTTTAACTTCATCTACAGTCAGGTCCATAAATATTGGGACATCGACACAATTCTAACATTTTTGGTTCTATACACCACCACAATGGATTTGAAATGAAACGAACAAGATGCGCTTTAACTGCAGACTGTCAGCTTTAATTTGAGGGTATTTACATCCAAATCAGGTGAACGGTGTAGGAATTACAACAGTATGCATATGTGCCTCCCACTTGTTAAGGGACCAAAAGTATCCATTAAAGATCCATTAAAATTCTGGTATCATGCTCTTCTATACACAGTAGTCATATCAGAAAAAGATCCTAGCAATCCAAGTCTGGATTTATCATCAGTCTTATTATTACAATTTCACCATGCTCCTGGGTCTACCTATCAATGCTGGAAGCAAACAGTTAAACCCTAGTGACAATGCCACTCTATATAAGATGTATATTGAGTACAAATATGTAATAAAATTATTTCGCAAAACAACATGCTTCAAAAACATCTAATTAAAGATATTTTATTTTGTTAACTATGGAACCTAGCTTTTTTGCGAATGTATCTTTAATTGTACAAATGTAATAAAATGGCATGTAAAGCTTTTTATTATACCATCAATACAGATGAGACAGAATATACTATAACACCTGGATCTAAGGTTCATTTGGTAATCTATCAGTGCTTATGTCTTTTATAAATCATTGATCGTACCTGTTCCCCAGAGAGTCTTACAGTGCTGACCAAGGGATGGGCATACTCCATTATAACAGTAGCCATTGCTGGATGAACAGGGAAGCCCATTCATCTGAAAGGCATCCTCCGGACATTGAGCAGAATTTCCAGTGCAATATTCTGGAAGATCACATTCTCCCTTTCTCTTGCGGCACATTTCACCAACTGGACGAATCTGACAAAAAGCAGTAGCAAGAATCATTTACACATCCTATCAAATGTCAAAGAAACAAAGTTTACAAAAGCAATCATAACAAAAATGTAACAATGATCCAACAAAACATAAGCTTGATATGTGTACCTTGCACTGCCGACAACACTCTCCTTGTGCACACTCTGCTCCCTCTTTTAGTTTGCATGTTGTGGCATTACAGCATGGGTTAGTGCATTCCTGAAAATTCAAATATAACAATAATTCATGAGTACATTATTTTCTTTAGCATGCTGAGGCTGATTTACTAAAGGATATGAGGAATCCCGGTTTACTTATTTCATCTGCACATGATTGGACCATAGATCGTGTAAAAATTCTCAAATCCTTCAGTAAATCAGCCTCATTGAATTTGCACAAACTGTTCTTAAAGATAAGTTAAGTTGTGGTATATACTAAAATGTCTTATTGTTCAAGTATCTATAAATATGGAACAATAGCGCAGAATGTTCTAATTTTCACAGTTTTCCTTGGATGGTCTTTAACAGGGGTCTCCAAACTATCTAAATAAAGGGCCATGTTTTACTGTGTCCATCAGACTTTAGGGGGCCTATTGCTGCAGAATATGGAACTCCAAATTGTCCAGTGACCTACCGCTTTTGGTACTGAAAACCATCAATGCAAATATTAACTCTCAAAAAGTCATAGCAAGCCCTTCATGACAACAACCAGGCTTGCTGATGGGTCCCGCTGTGGGATGGGGGCATGTCCAGTTTTTATGGTGTTGAACTGGAGACTCTGAAGTTTTGAAGTTAAAGATACTGAGGTATGTGCTGACAATTTATGCTGCGAAATGTGACCAAAGTCTTACATTTTGTTTTTCTATTGAGTCATGCTCATATGACACAATAGAAATCACAAAGTGAATAGGATGCTTTATTGTATATGAATAGGTTTGTAAATGTGTATGTTCAATAGTTGTACATGTTTTTTGGGAATGCATGTAGATGTTACCTCTAGTGTTCCGCAGTCACATTCCTCCCCACTCTCCACAAATTCATTTCCACACACTGGGCCCCCAAACAGCTGGGTGCTATCTGGGACATTGAATAGACAGGTTGGGCTAGCATCCTTCAGGAAAGTTTGAAGGTCCTGTCGGCTGCAGCTGCTGAAAATCTTGGGGTACACTATACTGCATATCAGAGGACATAAAACAAACGTAGAGTTAATTGTAAACAACACTACATTGTAGGTACAATGTCAGGGATAAGAAAAAAAAAAAAAACACAATGTTGGTACTTACCCAACACTCTTTGACATAACACAGCCTCCTTTGTCCCGGGTAACTGCACAGGTACACTGGGCTACGTCTTCATCATGAGACATGCCAAGGTTGTGCCCCATTTCATGTGCCATGGTAGAAGCAGCACCAATGGCATTTGTACTGTGGTCCTGTGGTTTTGGATTGAGATTGAAATTAATGAAAGGTAGAGTTTGGTGGACAAGCAAAGTTTCAGATCAACAAACATATAGAGAAACAGTCTTTTTATGTTTACAAGCCTTAAAAATTCAGCAGGAGACACCAGACTTGTATCACATATTAGACAAATATGTATAATTATACTCACTTGGTTAACAGCTCCAGAATCCCCTGTACACATTGCAAGTTTGGTGGCCAGACCTACAGTGCTCCCTTCAAAGTCCACTCCACTGTATGCATGAAAAACAATACAGATAAGAGATGTTAACAAGTATCAAATGCCATCACCCTACAAAAAAAAATAATTTTGGAGTTGGCACACGTAACAGTAAAAGTAAAATTCTAAATCTTACGTGACAAGCTGGGCATTATCATGCATTTTCTTTCGAAGAAGGTCACTCTTGCGCCAGCTCAGGAAATTATCCAAGGTTACACCGGCATTATTGCTCACTACTATTTTGTCTCGCTTGGTCCAAATTTCCATACCAATAAGAGCAACTCGGAAATTTAGGGAACGGTAAAGCTATAAAAGAAATGTGACATGTACATACAATAAATTAAATACAAATACTGGTTTATTAAGGATTTAGCGCATCTATATAAAAAAAAATTATCAAGCTCACAACTGTGGGATATTTGTTCTAAGCAAATCTAGATTACATCGTTTAAATTAGAAATACTAACATACAGCACATGTAACATTGTACTGCATTCATCACACAATTTTACCCACCAATGGATTTTCAAATGGGTTCAGTCTTGTTAATATCACTTCTTTACATCACATCCACATCCTGGACCTCCCTATACAACACACTGCAGGAAAGCAATAGAAGTTGTCCAGTCCCCAGTCTTTCCCCAACCTCCGATTGAACAATAAATGGGAAAGACTGGAGGCAGATATTAAGACAGATGCAGGTACTTATGCTAGTTCCATGTCAAATGCTTCTAATATTTGTTTAATTAATACCTGCCCTAAATGTGTACTTTAAAAAGTTTTTTTATGGATTGCATTCAATGCACATCTATAGATGGATCCATCACGTCTGATGAAAAAGCTGCAAATTTTTGCTTCGCCATCGTTTTTTTATATAGCACTAAGGAATCCTTATTACATTTAGCAGGAATAGTTTACAACACACATACATCAGTCATAAAACATGTCACCAGCTTGTCAACATATTAGCAGGAAAATCATTAGAAGTGATGGTAATACAACTCCATAAAGCATGTTTAGATGCTAAAGCTCCCACCTTGTCTACATGATTTACGATCTCCTTCATGCGATGTTGGACTGTAGGTATATCTTTGTACTTTAAATACTGCAAAGAAACAGAAACAAATACTATAGAAACCAGTAGTGGAAAGTGATACAATGGTGACGTTGCGTTTTTTCTCAAGATCTGTAACTTACCTCAGTGTTGTCAACTACAAGGAACAGTTCCACATATCTGGTACCAGTTTGTAGTGGAGCAGATCGCTATAAGAGATTTAAAAGAGAAGTTCTCATGCATACAATTTTCTGTATTAAAAACATATAGTATTATTGACAGTAATATACAGATTCAATCGTTCAAACTGTTGCATTTAATTTAGAAGTGGTGTCTGGAGATTGGTCCACCCTTTAGGTAATGTCCTAGGGCCTTCTGTGGTGAGAAATCCCCATCATTTCCAACTCTGTTCCACACATGTTGGTGTTCTACCCCTCCTTTCTCATTCTCCATATTGTTACAAATGAAAAATCTAGAATGGAGAATCTATAAAGCGGTAATAAACCCTATAAACAGTGACTAAAAAAAAAAAGTACAGATAAACAGCGCTATGTCAAACTACAATCTCCACTTGATATAAAAGGATAAAGGAAAGAAAAAAACTTCAACCCAAAAAAAATTATAAAATAAAATTAAATATTTTTTTTGGTGGAAGTTTTTTTTTTTTCCTTTATCCTTTTATATCAAGTGGAGATTGTGTTTTGACATAGCGCTGTTTATGTGTACTTTTTTTAGTCACTGTTTATAGATTTTTTTGTTATTTAAAACGGCAGCTTGGTTTAAATATTTAATTACTGGTTTAATAATTTTTATTTTATTTTTGTATACCAAGATTTTCACCATTTCATGAGCGCAGGGATATAGGCTGGTTTTATCCTATATATATTTTAATTGGTAATAAACCCTGCCAAAAAATATGTTATAGTTTGTAGGTTACCAATTCTTAGATGTGGTGGCTGCATTTACCTTTTTTTCCTTTATTTTCAACTGATGATCTGGCCACTATGTCTGTTATTTGTTTTTTTAACTCTAAACAGACTAGGCTATACAGCAAAAATGGCATTTGGGAGGTTAAGACAAACCATTTACTACTGACAGGGGAGCAGACAATGGTCAGCTTTTGTTCATTTAAACCTTGGTGTTAGTTTAGCGTTAACTTGTTTATCAAGTCCATCTGAATCTGCTAGTGCACTTAACACTTAACTCTTCTCTCATTGGCATTGCTGCTGTCCAAAGGTGTCTCCATCCTGAGTGGAGACACCTAAGACAAGAAATGTGTTGCTGGCTGGATCATTTGTTGAAAATAAAGGAAAAAAAGCCCTAAACAGAAAACTAAGGTAACTACCACATTTAAAGTAGTTGTTCACCCAAAACCTAATTAACTCTAAACCTACTCGCAGCCACATTCTAAAATGAATTTATCTAGCCCTGTAAAGAAAGAAAAAAAAAAATGGCGGTTCTGCAGCCGGTCTGGTCAGGTCCCACATTGTGCTGTCAGCAGTGGCTTCAGTGTGTAGGCGTGTGCAGGAGAGGCAACCGTCAATGGAAGCTCCATAGTAAGTCTGTGGGTGACGTCACATCCCAGGCATTTCACAGCCGTTGTCGGTTCTTTCCTGCACACTGCATCCGCCACTGGAGACCGGACCGGATTCAGAACAGGTATGTATTGCGATTTCTTCTTTACAGGGCTAGATAGATTAGTTTTAGAATGTGGCTGCGAGTAGATTTACAGGTAGTTTGGTTTTGGGTGAATTTCTACTTTAAGGATTGGCAAACTGCAATGTATTAAAAATATATTTTTTGGTTTAATACCACTTTAAAAATTGCTGCAGTAGTAGAGCAGACCCAAGAACACAAGCAAAAGTCTTACCAATGGACACCATGAGAAATATAAGTAACTGCTGACTTAAACGGTACTAAACCCAGGACCCTGCATTCACTATATCTGGTCTCCCACAGTACACACAACATGGAAATGTAATTATTTTAGTAAATATAAACTGCTAAATTTCTTTTCTCATCAGCAGTTAGAGCAGTCTTGTGACTTCTATCAGTGTCTAGCAAAGCACTGGTTAAAGCTTGTAGGAGTTTTCTTTCTGCTCTAAGAGAATGCAGAACCCCTGACCTCTGTCAGGACAGTGCTGATTGGCCCTGTGCTGATCACATGCACTCTCCCAAGAAAAAAAAAACTCTCTAGAAATACACACTAAACTGAGCGTGTGCAGAGTGACTCCACACATATGTCTTATCAGGAGATAAGAGGGGGGCACTGGAAGAAGCGGAGGATCAGAGAAGTCAGGATCAAACAGCCTTTTTTACACAATGTGGAGGATTAACCCCTTAGGTTCCACAGTGCGTATAACAAGCATGACTGATTTTACTGTTGTGGGTTTAGTAACACTTTAATTCTGCAGCAGGAAACAAAAGCATGAAGTAAGATGGACTATAAGGAACCAAGCACTTTATGCTTTATCCTCGAAAAACAGTCATGTTATCAGTAATTCAACCTCAAAGAAGTACATTATATTTTTGAGAAATGCAAGATCTTATTGGTCTTATGAAGAAATTGTGATGCTATTGGATACTATGGTTTTTCTTGTAAGCATGTTACAAGATTTCCAGGGTTGATAATACAATAACTCAAAGCTATCTTTTTTTTTTTTACAATGCTTAGGTTAAAACTCTGTGCTGCTTATATGCCTAAAAGCTTTCAGTCAGAACAAATGCATGAATTCCAGAATGGTTTTTAACATGGTGTTTAAATCCCTCTCTTATCTTACCAAATCAAGACCTCAGCACATGTTCAACCACTGGACCCCGAGAAATATTTTTAGGGAGGGCAGAATCAATACCAACTTTCACACAAGAGGTAAGGTTGGTATTTACTATCTGCATTACCAAGAATCTTTGTGAAACACCTAAACTGTCATGATTACTATTCAGTTAAGTAATGGAGCCCAATCACAAATAAGGATGGTCAGATGTGCAGACTTAACCCAACCTCAGCCCTAAAAAACCCATCCTATCCAAAAACAGCCTGGTAGGGTAATGTCTTCTCATGTCTGATGACATCATAATGCACAACTCTAGCCAGAACCTTTTTGGAAATAAGGATAGGTTAGAGCCCAGGTTTGAAATACAAGGCCTGTGAGCCAAATCTCACTCTCCAGGGGGCAAAAGGGCACAGTACAGGGAGAGTCAGAAGGGCATAATACTGGGAACATGAGGGCATAGTACAAGTCTTGGGACACTGCCCGGGCCATCCTGAGACAGCTTAGTAAAAAGCATGAATGTCCCAGCAAATCTGGGACAGTTGGCAAGTATGATGTAATGCAACATTATCATGGGGCCACCATGCACCTAGGCAGTGCCCAGAGGG